TCTTCCTAAATGGGCATTCTTAAAAAAAAAATTCCTCCACACATAACCAGCCGCCCACTGATGGGAAGACAATTAAATAGTCAATAAAAAGGAGACATTAACACAAGAAAGCGGTTTTGTCTCTTTCCAAAGAAACGGGTAAATGGAAGCGAATATGACAGACACCTGACCTTGAAGGAAAATGAAGTATTTTACTCAGCCACAAAATCTTTTGGCCCTGTACGTCTTTTCTTTTGAGCAGTGTAGGCAGTTGATCTTTTTGGCAGGTTTCATGCAATATAAAGATTATTTTTAGATATAAGAACAGATACTCCATTTTTTTGAAAAAGGAAGTTCATTCCCACCTATCAAATGTTCACTTCAGAAGATCTCTAAGTTCTCTAAGAATTTGGATCTTATCCGACACAAAGTTGTGTGTCTTAACTTGAAACTGATTTTATGAAAAATATAAGGGCAACCTGATAATGATGATGATGATAGTAGTAGTAGTAGTAATAATAATAATAATACTAAAGTTGGAAGGGATCTTGGAGGTCATCTAGTCCAACCCCCTGCTCAGGCAGGAAACCCTATAGCATTTCATACAAATGGCTGTCCAGTCTCTTCTTAAAAACTTCCAGTGTTGGAGCATTCACAGCCTCTGGAGGCAGGTTGTTCCACTGGTTAATTGTTCTAACTGTTGGGAAGTTTCTCTTCAGTTCTAGGATGCTTCTCTCTTTGATTCGTTTCCATCTGTTGCTTCTTGTCCTGCCTTCAGGTGCTTTGGAGAATAGCCTGACCCCCTCTTCTTTGTGGCAACCCCTGAGATATTGGAATACTGCTATCCTGTCCTCCCTCGTCCTTCTCTTCCTTAAATTAGACCTACCCAGCCGTTCCTTATATGCTTTAGCCTCATCTTTATTGCTCTTCTCTGTACTCTTTCTAGAGTCTCTTCCATTAGGAAGAGGACAGGAAGACAATTATCCTTCCTTGAAGTTGCTCTGAAAGAACTGATAACCAGCAGCAGATTAGTTATCTCTGAATATAAAGTCTCAATTTTCCCATCCTGATTAAAGTGTGTTTCTCCCATCGTCTCCTTTTCTATCATTCTCTTCCTCCTTTTCCTTGTCCTCTGTTTTTGAAAAACAGAAATCCCTCATGCCAGGAAGCTTTCATGGTATGCATGGATGATCATCCATCAGCTTCCAAACCAGCTATGCTGAAGATATAAGCTGGGTCACAGAAAGTACCAACAGCAAGTGCCTGCTTTTAATTCCAAACAGGACCTATAGGAGGGGTAGCAGTTGTGCTAGAAGGCTTAAGGTAATGGAAGAGTTGGTAACAGCTCTTATTTATTCTGGGTTAATATTTATGAATATTTCTGGCAGGTGACCCGACAATCTTTGCTCCTGAAATATGCATGAGCAAGATCCTTCTGCTGGAATTGCTGTGGTCTGGAAAACACACATCCAGCAATTGTGAATAGCAAATAGAACGCAGCATTGCTACAATCAGTAAAATACAAAAATTAGTGTATTTTCACACAACATCTGCCACCGAATTGGAATGGTGTTTATAGGCCCTGCTGCTGCCCTCCTTCCTAAACCTTCCATTTGGTCGTTTGTGTTTATTTAAAAACCCTTCTAAATTTAAGTCATATAATTTCAAAGTTCACCCTTTAAGATGGCTTTAATTGGACTATAACTTGCCATTAGCTTTAGAAAAGCCTTTCCTTTCCTTTCCTTTCCTTTTTCCTTTCCTCTCCTCTCCTCTCCTCTCCTTTCCTTTTTCCTCTCCTTTCCTTTCCTTTCCTTTCCTTTCCTTTCCTTTCCTTTCCTTTCCTTTCCTTTCCTTTCCTTTCCTTTCCTTGTCACTGTTGACTCCTAGCAACTGCCTGGACAGGTCCCTGAAGTTTTCTGCACATTTCTTTAGTCTTTGATATCTGTAACCAGTCAAGAGTTGTTAGGTTGCCGTCAAATGAAAGACAGTCAATTACTGCCATCTTCTAAACTGCCTATCAAACATGATTGTGATGGCTGCAGTACAGCAGTTTCACCAAATTCCTAAGTGTACAACACATTTGCCCCAGCTAAACGGAGAACTGGTGCAGCGGAGGGGGTTACACTGCTTTAACAGCAAACACACGGCATTCTCAAATAGAGCCCATGTGTAAAAAACTAAATAAATAAATCCTGCTTTCTAAAAGAGCTGGGTGTGAAGAGGAGTTCTTTTAGAGCTTGCTCAGCAGATCTAGTGGAGGTGGGAGAGAATGTATAAAAGAGTAACTAAGAGTAATTGAAGATGGTTTTATTGCTGACATAATTCCAGGAGAAAGCTGCAGCAAAGAAGCCAGATCTTTATTTAGCAAGGTATGCTCTTACAATCCTTACAAAGGAACAGGCAACCTCCAGAGGTAGCACAAGCAACAGGGCAAAATGCTGAGGAACGAAAGTAAATAGACACAACCCGTGTATAGATTGTTTCAGGGATTCAATCTGAGTTGGTCATACGGACCAAAGGTTTATTCTTCCAAGCTTTCGGGCTTGTGCTGAAGCCCATCTTCAGGGAATTGCTTTCTCCCTGGAATACGTGCTATGTGTTGTATTTATATAGTTCCTGGTTGTATGTAGCTTTTAATTGTTGATTAGGGTGTTAATGGTGTTAATTAAGCCAACTATTAACACCCTAATCATCAACTAAAAGCCACACATAACTAGGAACTATATAAATACAATGTGTAGAACAGCCCAGTACACATATTCTGGGGATGGGCTCCAGCACAAGCTTGAAGGAATAAGAGAAGAAGACACGTCTATGGAGATTTTCAGCCATCCAGGTCATCGTTATCCCAAAGATGCTTTTTCATGAGGCAACTGGACTTCCTTGTTTTTCTTTGAAGATGTTTTGCTTCCCATCCAAGAAGCTTCTTCAGCTCTGACTGGATGGTGGGGAATGGAAGGATTTATTTATATTCCTGCAGACAGCTGTTCATTTGCATTGTTTTAGCGCATTGTTAAAGTCCACCTTTTGGACAGAGAGGACCGCTGGTTTGAAAGAGGGGTCAAAGAGGCCATCTATGTCAAAATTGAACAGCCCTCTCTCAATGGAGGTGGAGGGATCCGACATCCTCTATCTCCAGTCTACAACACAGTCCTTCCAAGAAGGCTCCACACCCATCTGCATTACTCAGGTGACCCTGAGGACACAGATAAGCCTCCAGGTAGCTTTAATGACTTGTTAAAAGAATGCAAATGAACAGATGTCTGCAGCTGGCAATTTATGACTTGTGAACCAAGTCCCAGAATCCCCAGCCAGCATGGCAACTTTAAGACTTGTGGACTTCAAGTCCCAGAATTCCCCAGTCAGCATGGTGTCTGGAGCCCCCTGGGGTAAAGAGTCCATGGGTGGTCTTCAGGGATAAAAAGATAAAACGGGAGTGATCAACAATGTACATATAAACCAGGTTTAACTTTGCTTTCTTATCTCATGCCTCTGATTTTATTTATTTATTCATTACATTTAAATAGATTTTTTTTTTTTTGGTCTTACCATTGCTCACTCCTGTTTGCCCTTTGTAGAACGAGAAATCAAACACAATCTATTGACTTTGACATTAAATTATTAGCAGGGGAAAAATCATTTCTAAAATGAAGACTTTTACAAAGTTAATAAGTGGCTTGTTTTTTTATAGCTTCCATCAGCTTTGATTTCCCCTACCAACTGGATCCTGCAGCCTCCCATTTGGCTAAATAAGAAAGTAATTATAATGCCACATTTTGTTTAGCTTCTATCCTTTAGCGCTAATTACCGAGGATCATTTATGAGCTTCCCCCACAGAAAATAATTGCCACATGCCTCCTTAAAAGAAAGAAAGTATCTCCAGTCTTTTCAGGATATAAAGGATAAACACCAATTAAAAACAATTGCACCAGCACTTCACAAATGAAGCAAGAGTGTAGCAAAGATTTTAATAAAATGAAACTAACAGACCATTTCTGGAACGTTGCATTGACATTAGAAATAAAAGAAAATTTAAAAAAGAGAATTTCTTTCTGTTAGATTAGTGACAGAGAGAAAAAAAAACCACTGTATAAAAAAAAATCCACTTTCCTTTTATTAATTTCTTCAAGGAGAAAAGAGATAAAGCAAGCCCTTGCTCAAGAGTTTAAGAACAGCTGTTCTGCATAATTGAGAAGCTATTTTTCAGAAATGAATAGCCAGATAATATAATTTGTCTTTGTTATCTCATTTTGCATGCAAGAAACTTTTTATGCTCAGAACACCGTCCAAAACAGAGTTTTTACTTTTTTAAAAATCATTCTTACCATTTCCCATCTTACCGCAAGCTTCCGTATAAAAATCTGTTTTTTTTTCCAACAGTCTGCATCCTTCACTATTTTAATTCTAAAACCACCTGCATTCTAAGCACATCAGAATTAAAATCTGCTTTGTGTGTTAGCTTGGACTTTACTGCATTCTTGTTCTTTTCACTCAGTAAAATTATTCTTATTTGGGACAGACTAGCACAGAGAAAAAACAGGCAGGATTAAAGAAAATTAACCCGTGTTCGACATTTTCATCCTTTTAACAGAAACCCGACTTCAGATGCCAATGCAAATTCTAATTCTTTTTTTTACCAAGGCTGTTTGCATGTCAAATGGAGAGAAAAGCACAACTTTGCTAAAGGTTAACCCATTTCACAAGCTGAATGTATTTGTGGGGGGGGGGGGAATATAGCAGCAAGTTCAGTGCAATTTCCCGGCTAACAACCTACAGTATGATTGCAGCCAAAACTCCATGAACTTAATTGTGGTAATTTATAGGGGGCCTAATTTATTTGTTTGCTGAGAGTTATTAATCAGAGGACTGCCTCTTTTGATTGTGTTGGGGCACAATTACAATTAATGGCACGTTTAATGCTATTTTGTGTTACTGTTCGAAGAGGTACACTGCTCTGCTGGATACCAGTTGGTAGGTTCCAGTGTAGGACAAATTGTGGTAACTATTCATTGACAACTCACCCGTTTTGTGTAGCCCATGGCCTTCAGAATGGAGAGATTGAGTGTTTCCAGTGATGCCAACACATCTTCATAATCTCCCATGTGGTCAGCAAAGTAATCTGAAGACCAGGAAGAGAAAAGTAAGAAGGGGAGATGAACAGATCTGCTTCAAGGTTGATTCATAATACAGCAACTTCAGAAAGAGCACGGTACCAGCTGACAGCCTCTTCTAGTGACCGCTCTAATGCCTGACCATGGAAAGCCAACTGCTCTGCCATCCACCTTATTAGCAAAATGCTAGTAATAAATCACTGCCTCTCATCTTAGAAAGGGGAAAACATTAAAGCATAGAACTTGGATGCCTAATTTTCAGCAGCTGCTGTCGCTTCCCCACGTCATAACAAAAGAGAAAAGAAAAAGGAATTAGGGTGCAGAGCTGGCTTTCGAAAGAGAAATGGATAAAGCCAATCCTTTTGGAGAAAGGATAATGGCCAAACTCCATCGCATAGGCCAGGAACCTTCAGAAATAAAAAAACCCACAACTGCTATTTGGACGAGGGCATGCTCTAAACCATCTGTCCGACTGAAAAGGGACTAGGAAACCATTTTTTGCTACATTTTGCAAATACAGGCTTGCATTAGGACCTTTAAATAAGGGCTGAGAACACAGAACATAGCAGTGGTGGGATTCAAATAGGTGAACAACAGGTTCTCTGTGTGGATGCCGCTTCCGGAAGTCCGTTCTGGGCCTGGGCAGCAAAAAATTAGCTACCGGTTCTGCCAAAGTGGTGCAAACTGGCTGAACCCTGCCACTGGAACATAGAATAACAAAGTTGGAAGGGATCTTGGAGGTCTTCTAGTCCAACCCCCTGCTCAAGCAGGAAACCCGATATGATTTCGGACAAATGGTTGTCCAATCTCTTCTTACAAACCTCCACTGTTGGATCTTCCACAACTTCTGAAGACAAGTCGTTCCATTGATTAATTGTTCTCACTGTCAGTCATTTTGCCCTGTTAAAACAGGGGTGTCCAACTGTGACAACGTTCAGATTTGTGGACTTCAATTCCCAGATTTGGCTGGCTGGGGAATTCTGGGAGTTGAAGTCCACATAACTTGAAGTTGTCAAGGTTGGCCAATCCTGTACTGAAATAACAAACGGGAAACCAGCATTCATTGTGCAATCAAGACATAAAAGGTACTCACCACACAACTCCTTGGTATCCACGTTACTTGAAAGGAAAGAAGAAACAGAAAAGAATGAGAATGTAGGGGAGGAAGGGGGGAAAGTAGAAAATTTAACTCTAAGCAATTCACAACCGGTTAGGCAGAAAGAATTTGCGGATGTGTTTGAAGGCGTTTACACCACGCTGCTGTCTTTGAAACCTAGCTTTCAAAAGTCACATGCCAGGACTTTTTCAGAACAAGGGTTCCTCAACTGGTCCTAATTGATTTTACAATGGATAAGAGCACAACAGAGTCTTGTTCTCTCTGCTAACGAAGTCACGAATAGCAAGATAATCGATTAAGCCGTAAACTCTTCCCTGGGCAGATAATGCTGGCCACAATATTGTTGGAGATATAGTTGGGTGTTCAGGAATTCTGGAGCCCTGATATACTGCTTTTCATACATACTGTAGAGTTGTGACGGTGCAGTGGTTAGAAGGCAGTACTTCAGGCAAAGTTTGCCCACAGCCTGGAGTTTGATCCTGACCCGCTCAAGGTTGATTCAGCCTTTCATCCTTCTAAGGCCAGTAAAAGGAGGACCCAGACTATTGGGGGGGCAATATGCTGGCATTATAAATCTCTCAGTGAGTGCTGTAAAGCACTATGGGGTGGTATATGAGTCTAAGTGCTATGGCTATTGCTACCTAGATGTTTATGAGCTCCACATTCAGGCTGCTTTTATTGTTTATTTTTATTTTAGAGTTACAAGTATATTGTGTATTCATCATATATTTTAATCCTTTTAAAAAATTAGCTGGCTGGGTCACCATCTTCCTCATATGAAGTTCATTTCTCCCCCCCACCACCACCACCACCAAACAAGCCCACCCAACTGTTTCAGTTGCCACTGGGTTTGAGATAAGCAGAGGTTCTTTATCAACTGACTCTGGCAAGCCTATTTTCACGCTGCCGGTGATTGACAGCTCTGTCTTGCCCAGTAACTTCCAATCCAGCTGTCCTTAAAAAAAAAAAAAAAACCCTAGAAAATGAGAAAAAAAAAACCCCTCAGCCCCAACGCACGGTCATGTCACCTTCAAGTCCTTTTTCGGATTTAACTCTTTCTTCCCGCCTTAGTTGGAAGCTGTTATAACGAATAACTGTTATAAATCGGGGCTCAATTGATGCATGTGATGAATCAGAATGATCTGCAAGATACTGTATGAAATGAGCCAGCAGTGTGCTGCAGCTGCCAAAAAAGCCAAAACAGTGCTAGGCTGCATTAACAGAGGGATAGAATCAAGATCACATGAAGTATTAATGCCACTTTACAATGCCTTGGTAAGGCCACGCTTGGAATACTGCATCCAGTTTTGGTCACCACGATGCAAAAAAGATGTTGAGACTCTAGGAATAGAGTACAGAGAAGAGCAACAAAGATGATCAGGGGACCTGACGCTAAAACATATAAGGAACGTTTGCTGGAATTGGGTATGTCTAGTTTAATGAAGTGAAGGACTAGAGGTGACATGATAGCAGTGTTCCAATATCTAAGGGGCTGCCACAAAGAAGAGGGAGACAAGTTATTCTCCAAAGCACCTGAAGGCAAGACAAGAAGCAATAGATGGAAACTAATCAAGGAGAGAAGCAACCTAGAACTAAGGAGAAACTTCCTGACAGTTAAACAATTAACCAGTGGAACAACCTGCCTCCAGAAACGGTGAATGCTCCAACACTGGAAGTTTTTAAGAAGAGACTGGACAGCCATTTGTATGAAATGGTATAGGGTTTCCTACCTGAGCAGGGGGTTGGACTAGATGACCTTCAAGATCCCTTCCATCATCATCATCATCATTATTGTTATTATTATTATTATTAAGTCTAAGAGAAGACTTAGAAGATGATAATTAGTTCTAGCAAGCTGATGATTAATTGAATGGGAAATCACTCTGGTTTTGAGTTCTCTTGTTAAATAGACTTTGACCCAACCTTTGTTGAATACAGTATGGAGAGAACTTATCGAGGCTACAGAAATTCTAAAAGCACCTTTATTTTCTTTCTGTTTATAAGGTACATTGTCTTCACACTTGTAGAATATGTTCAAATAAAGGAATTAGAATGTGATCGATCATGGTTTTGCCAATGCTTCTAAGATCCTGTATGCAACAGGAAAAGGGAACTTTTATCAGTATCCGTCTTGTGATTCCATAAGGGATCAAATTGCCTCTTACAAACTAAGTAACTTAATAGTCTGTTTTATTTGGGGGTTTCTTTGTTTTTTAGGGTTTGTTTTTGTTTTATAAGTGAATTATCAGCATTTTTAAATATAGAATACCAAAAGCTAATTCTCTAGAGAGGGTGGGCGAGAAAGACACTATATAAAACCTAAGACAAGGAAAGGTTTTCTTTCACCAGCTTTATTTTTAGACTGACAATAGCTATGATATAATTGAGACTTGGAAGAAAGGTAAACACACAATGATTTGTTGCTACAGGCAACAATATTGGGAAAGCAACATCATAAAAAAGATCACTGCCTTGGAAATTTGTGCCCTCCCCCATATTTTAATTTCTTTTAATATATCACCTATCACAGAATCTCTCTCTCTCTCTCTCCATTATAATTGGTCAAGATGTTTAAAAGTTAATTATTTTACAATTGGTGCCTTCATTAATATTTTCTATCACGGTTCTTATAGGTACTTGGTACAAGGTAGGATGATATTTATTTATTTATTCATTTATTCATTCATTCAAATTTCTTTCCCACCCATGACACTTGCATGACTAATGCGTGATTATGCAGGTCATTATGTCACCTTGCAAATGAGATCATGACATGCACAACATCACTTACATTATCTGTATGGCAGCTGTTATAATTCTCGCTCTCAATATTGTTTTAATATGTTTGATAACTGTACTGAAATTTTATCTCTGTTTGTGGCCCAGAATTCCTTTGGTTCAATTGGGCAGCCATATCAGTTTGTTGAATAAATAAACAAACGGTAAATCCCTGCCCTCTCCTTGTGTGAAGACAGCAATGTTGCGGTTGTGTCTTCAGATGGTGGTAGAAGGGCTGCAGTGAAGACACCAGGGTCTCATAAAACAAGGAACCAAAAGATGACCCTCTAATCTATAAACCATTAAAGAAAAAAAAAACCCAAGTAAGATCTCAAGATGATGATACCCGAAATCACCTTCTCCAAACTTGGCTTCATGCATTTTATTTCCCCTGATTCCGCCCACTTGAAGCACAGTCCCAAGAATTCAGGACAATTTTTAGCTCTGCGTCTGAATTTTGCAATAACCAAAGAAACATGCAGTCTGAAACACATTTTCAACTAATTGCTAACCTGGGAAGTGAGAATGAGGCTACATTGCTTAACAGTGTGGGCCACAAAACATTATCTAGCTTTCCTACTGTGAGGATGGTAGGAAGGAATTCTGGACAATAATAGGCTCTGAATTATTTAAAATGTGAAATTATTAGAGTAATCTTAAGGAAAAGAATGGAGGAGAAATACGGTGATGGATGAAGTGACGGAAGACTTTCAGAACAAGTGCGACAGGTTCACCCTCTTTCCATGAAATGGGAGGTTAATTTGTTGTCTAAATCCCAGATAACAGTGACCTTTTTGTGATAGACTTGGGTAACCTCATTCCCTTCTAGCACTGATGATGTTCCCTAGTTGGGTAATGAAATGTCTGCAAGCAAACAACGAAGCTCAGAGGGCACCAAGAACCAAGTCAATCCTGAGCTACAGATATTCTCTTGTGTGTCGTTAATCTGGATAGAAAATCTTAAGCCAAAGATTTTAAAAAATCCTCCTTGTAATATCTGATGCATGGAAAGCCAGAGATGCTTTTGGCTGCTTAACAGAAGATTTCTCTCTGCTGGACCAGATAAAAACCCAATTGCTTCTCAATCCACTCACCTAAACTGAAAGAAAGTTTGGCCACTTTGGAGTCTGAAAGAAAGGCCAAATACATTTCAAACTTTTTCACTTACACCAGGTTGGGTAGCAATAACTGGTTTTTTCCCCCTCAGCTTTTTCTACTAGCATTTCTTGTCATAATTAATTGCTTTTTAGATGTACGTTTTTCTTCTTTGAGGAGTGCTATTTATATGTGCACAGATATTTTCTGCTTCTATGCACTGTGAAGTGTATTTTATATGGAGCAATTTTATCCTGCTTCTAATTTTATCTGCATCTTCATGTTATCTCTGGTTAGGTTTGGCCCAGCAATTATATATTTTCATAGCTTTGATTTAATATATATATATATTATTTTGGCTTTTAGCCCCTACTGAGTATCATTTATTTTATTTTCTTGCATTAGACTATATTGAATTGAATTGTGGGATATTAGCAGATTTTTTTCCCCTGCAGAGCTTTTGTGTGAAAATTTCTTTTTTTGTGACTGCGTCATTTTTCATGAAAAGAAACTACATATTTCTTTTACTTCTCTAAATTAGACTTTCAATCAGTGGAAGGTTCACGATTCAGGTAATGAAACTTTAATTAAGCCTTAAAATATAGTACAACTATATTTGGATAATGGCTATAAGTATATATAGATTTTTCTCTGGACTGAAAACCACTGATTTAAAAAGTTCTTTAAAAAATACGACAAGTGACAAACGGGCAAACAATGGAAGGCAATTACAAAATTTAAAAAGGTAATTATAGGAAACATAAAATCCAATACAGAGAAAGTACTCAAAATCTATTTGAGCCTAAAAATATAGAAATTGCATATAGAAAAGCAAATTTCTTTGTTTGCCATTCAAAGGTGTCAGTGTAGGTTCCCAGCATGTCTCTCTAGACCAGGCATTCCAGATGTGGGATACCACAAACACACCCTCTCTGTGTGATCAATTGCCCCAATGCCCTTGGCATTGTCTGTGCTCCTGACTACTTCCCTTTGCAGTCAGTGGCAAATTCGCCTGACCATCGACCAATAACCAATAGCCAAGACACAGTGAAGACCTCCTTGTTTTGTTTATTGCGATAAGCGGGGAGAGAGGCCACCAAATCTTGGTTCTCTCCAAAGTTCATCCTCTCAAATCAACATTTTTATATATTCCCTACACCGGCTGTCCATCCCTCCTCGTTCCCCATTGGCTGAGGTACTATGAGATTACATTCTCTCCAACGACTTCTACATATTTCCTGCTACCCTCCCCAAACATACTAAATCATATATCACATGTGCATTTAAATGAGCAGACAACGTATGCAAGGTGTGTCAGATAACATTCAATCGCATATTGGGCATGCTCTTTTAACTTGTTTATTGTATGGGTTCTTAGAACAACAGGTTCTTTCCTGTTATTCGGTTAGTTTTAGTTTTCCTGTTATTCAGTTTGTTTTGTTTTACCTTTACCTATTTGTTTTACCTCTTTTCTCTTGCAGCTACTTCCTCTTACAGCTACTTCCTCTTACAATTAATTCCTCTTACAAGTTCAAATTTTGAAGACCTTTCATTTATTCCTATCAGCAAGGTCACCTCCTGAGCATCCCAAAATACAGGAGAAGGCCAGGCAGAGCCTGAGGGAGGAGTCAAGAGAGGAATCAGCCTAGAGTCATTACATTCCCACAAGTGATCTAAGTCCAAATTCTTTTGAATTCTGTTGACTCTTATCCAGCATCAATTTAGTGCTGACCATTAGTCGATTAGATTCTTGTGTATAGACATGAGCAATAAATCAGCTTGACTAGAACCTATGGATACTTAGCACCTGACACAAGCCCAGACACAACATATCGTGACTTTTCCCCCATTGCCCGCGGTTTTGGTGTGATGCATCCGGCCCATGGGCCGGAAGTTTGACATGCCTGGTCTATTAGATGGAAGCAAATAAAGAATTGGACTCAACTGGAATTCACGGTGTCGTCTTTGGCCTTAGGCCTGACATTACACAACCTCAAAAGAACATCCCCGACACCATGTGCCAATAGAGTCCTCCCTGTCTCACTTCTTTGTGCACAGAGTTCTCAGTGGCTCCACCATCGCTGTTGATATGTCAGCTCAGTCCAGGAAAAGATGGAGAAGTCAAGGCCTGTCCTGACGGGGCAAAGCAGTTAAGGAATCTAAAGGGACTCACCTGGTGTTGTCAGAATCGATGGTGTGAAAGAGTTTCTCCAACTCCTCCTCGTTAAGAGTCCCATCGGAAAAGAAGGCCTGGAATTCTTCCAAAGACAATTTCCCATCATCTGTAAGTAATAGAACAGAAGGTGTGAGGGATTAACAGGAGAAAAGGGGGAGTGGGTGCAGAACAGAGGTCTTCTAGTCTAACCCCCTGAATCTTCCCAAGCATTCAGAGAAATGGCTTTTCCAATCTCTTCTTAAAAGCCTCCAGTGATGGAGCACCCACAACTTTTGAAGGCAAGTTGAGTGTTAGGATTGGTTGTAAGTCCCTTTTTTTTCAGTTTTACTGTAACTTTGAACGGTTATAAGTTGAGGTCTCCCTGTATTAAAAAGGGATTCAAGCTAGCTATTCCCTGATGTACAATGGAAGGAAAGATAAACTCTATCAGACTTGCAAGATTCTGCTATAATGGTCTGTCTTAGTGAAGTGTAAATCTGGTTAGCCAATAATTTCCCTAGAAATGCAACTGCTGGGAATAAGTCACGTTCCTCCCAGATTGAATAACACCAGATCTGGAAGAGGAGGAGGGGAAATAAATCACTTTGGATTATCAAAGCTGGCAAAAAAACCCAGATGCCTGGTTATTTCTGGAGATGCGATACAATTGTGAGAAGAGTAAATGATTTTTCTGTTGTTCTGATGCTGCTAAAAACTAGCGGTATTTCATATCGTGCCATTAAAGCTTACAGAAGCATTGAAATATGCATTTTTGTTCCTGGAATAGCTATGGAAACGCAGTGGGTCTCCAGACTCTGAATCAGTGAGCTTGGTTCAAAGCGACACTCACAACTGCAAAAGCAAAGCAATCAAAACGTGCACGGAGAGAGATGCCACTTTTTCCATGCCACTTTTCCTCCGCCATTAGTAGAAATACACCTAGAACAGGAACCTCCATTTAAAAGAGGTTTGACAGATAGGCTGCGCGACTTTGGGCCAATCGCCAGGAGGCTGTGAGTTCTAGTCTTTGCCTTTGGCAAGAAAGCAGTTGGGTGACTTTGGACCAATCACCAACAGATGGTGAGTTCTAGTCCTGCCTTAGACATGAAAACCAGCTGGGTGACACTGGGCCAATCACCAGGAGATGTGAATTCTAGTCCCACCTTAGACCCGCAAAAGCAGCTGGGTGACTCTGGGCTAATCACCAGGAGATGGTGAGTTCTAGCCCCACCTTAGGCATGGAAGCTGACAAGGTGACTTTGGGTCACTTCCTCTCTCTCAGCCCAAACCACCTCAGAGGGTTATTGTTGGGAAAATAGAACGTTCACTACCTTGAGTTACTTATAAAGTACTAAAGGTGGGATTAAAAAAAATCTTAAAAAAGAATCTGTGTTTAAAAACTGTAATAGGTATTGTCCAGGGCAAGTTATTCATCCATACAATTATACCGTCTGAACTATAACTATTAATTGATTTGGCTGAACAAAGAGCAAATGAGCTTCAAGACAGCCCCAGCTGAAAATTCTACTCACACTGAGTAATTAATACAGACCTTGTACAAATACTGTAATTAGAAATCTGCACACAGAGCTGGAAGGGGGGAATTATGTAGGATTTCTCTCTGGCTCAGAAAACATTTGTGGGAATTTCTCCTTAGTTCTAAGTTGGCTCTCTCTTCTTCCACCCATTGTTTCTTGTCCTGCTCTCTCTCTTCTCTCAGTCCCTGAAACCTTGGAAGCCTGCTATCCCATCATCCCAATCCTTCTCTTCATTAGACGAGATATATGTAGCTCCCTCAACCCTTCATCATATGGTTTGGCCTCTAGACCTTTTCTTATCTTCGTTGCTCTTCTCTGCCCTCTTTTTAGGGTCTCAGACCCTAGAGATGGATCTGTTCAAGTTCACCTCTTGCTTTTGGATGCTGCCCCTTAAGTTTTAAGTGGAAACTAAACTTTTAAGTGGTTGCTCTTAGAAGAGCAATGAAGACCTGGCTCTTCACCTGGATCTTTGGCAAGAAAACCGAGACCCCTCACATCATCACATCTGCCTTCTTTTTTTAATCAACTGCAATTTCTTTGATAACAGAATAACCGAATTAGAAGGGGGCGTGGAGGTCTTCTAACCCACCCTCCTGTTCAAGCAGGAGACCCTATATACCATTCCAGACAAGTGGCTGTCCAGTTTCTTCTTAAAAGTCTCCAGTGATGGAGCATCCACAACTTCTGGAGGCAATTTCCGTTCCACTGATTAATTGTTCTCCCTTTCCCCTCAGCATGGCTGGCTCAGGAATTCTGGGAGTTGAAGTCCACGAGTCATCAAAGAGCCAAAGGTGCCTACCCCTGCCCTAGCATCCTTGAGCTTGGGTGATATATAAAAGAGCATGACCTCGTTATTATTTGGAATGCTGTATTTTTCTTATTCTGCAACTAATCCATTTCCTTTGGCTGGGCTTCTGTTCGCCCACTTTGGAGAAAGACCCACGTTTTTTCCCGTTGCTCTAGATTTTATACCCCTGCTGGTCAGAACGTCTTTGTGATCTCAAATGAGAGCGCAGCTCCATAAATGTTGCATGGGGCCCTCAGCCCCCTCCCGCTGGCCAAACGCAGCAAGGTTCCTGAGGCTGCAGCCAGTTAAGCCTTTCAAACGTGCGCAGCCTTTTAAGGAAGACTTCTTTAATAGGGCAAATTCTGCTAATCAAAGACCTTTTCAAAGAAGCACTGATGTGGTTGGGATGGGACTTAACCTGCGTCTTCAGGGGTCTGTAGCAAATCATAATTTAGCCATTAAATTCCCAGACCAACAAGATGCCCGCTTTGTTTTGTGCTCTTCCTGATCAGCTAATGAGTGTTTGAGAAGAAAAGGCACATCTCTCCACCTACGGGGCTAAAAAGCTAGCTGGTCTGGTTCATCTCTGGAGATCAAATCATAATTAGTGCACTTCAAAGCTAAAGCAGCCATTTAAAAAAAAATACAGCGATTGGCATCAAAATAGCAGAAAATTATGGTTGCCCCTGACTGCCCCATACCTGCCATTCTGTTCTTTTACACAGGGACAGATTGATCAGGATTTGTTTTCCTCCTATATCAAAACAGTGTAGCACAGCTGCTCACTACAAGTAGCCCTCAATTTATGACCATAGCTGAACCCAGAACATCAATTGTAACTCCTGCTGGTCATTAAGTGGATCACCACATGACTGACCCAATTTTACATTTTTTGCAGCAGCGATTAACTGAATCTGCAGTCATACAAGCAAACCCATTCTCCGCAATGGATGGATTTTGGCTGGAAATCAGAGGTCAATGCTGGTTTCCAGCATCATAAATCATAGTGGTTTGCTGCAAACAGCTGTAAATATGGGTCAGTTGCCAATACCCAAAATGCAATCATGTGATCACAGAGGGCTGGATGTTGGAACTTCAAATCCTTATCACAAATACCTTTTTTTGGGTCCATCGTAATTTTGAATGAGTGTAAGCTACTTAGCAATTTAATAAGTTGAGGACTATCTGTACTGGGATATTTCTAAGAAAAAGACACAAAATGCACAGGCTTGGGGGAAATTGACCAAAAAGATGAATGCACGGAATGTTTCTAAAAGCTTCATGGTTTCATGTTATCTGCCTTGATGATTTTAATGTTTTTTATGTTGTAAGCCACCCAGAGTCATTTGACATGAGATGGCTAACAAATTTCAAAATAAAAGCTATTTGCAACAGTTGCATACAAATATATGTATCTTACAAGAAATGGCATGCAAATGTAACAGCGGACAAGGAATGCAAGACAAAATAGTCTCTGAAAGAAGTTTGTTTGAGTTTTCTTTAACTGTCTCTTGTTGTCACAGAAAACAAATGATTCATGTTGCATATGCCTTCATTTGGCTATTTGACATCAAGTTGTGCACACAAAGGTCTGAAAGTAAACTTGTACGACTTGAGCAAATAGACCTAGGAAGATTAGAAAGCTGGGTCAAGTTTATTTCAGAGATTACTTTATCCAGATGGTCAAAGCACCAGAGGAGGAATTAATTTGGGTGATAATTTAATATTTGATATCATATTTGAACTGAGTTAAATAGCACTTCCTAATTAATTTGCAAACAAGCTTGTCCTTACCTTTCCCTTTCTCTTTAGGAAAGCTGCTTGCAAATAACATTGGCATGAAAAAAAAAAAAGGGGTCGCGCAAACAAAATGCCATGCAAATTTGCACGCCGAGATTTAAAGGAGCTCCAATTTGTTATGTATCGAAAGACCCAGAGGATTTGGTTTTTTCAACATATTCTCCAACAAGCGGAACAAATAATCCGGAGCAATTATATAACGAAGAGAAGAATCCACTTTGGAGTTTCTGCAGAGTGACTAAAAGACGAGGATTTGAGCGTGGATTTGATTTCTTTAATTAACAATTTGGTATCCTCCTCTGCCTTTCTTGGGAAAAATTCAGCAGATTTGTCAGCATCGAAGGGTGGGGGTGGGGGATTCAGCAAATGTGCTTCTTCTTGCGTGGGCAATCATTTGTCTAATGCAGGAATAATTGTAAACATGCCTTCCTAACTGTCAATTCACAGTTGACACAGTGAAACGGAGAAAACCCTGGAGGAGGAATAACATTTAGGAGGAAGCACCAAGCAGGCGTTAATTTCGTTGCAATGTATTTTTGTTCGGTCTCCGGCTCAAAAGGCTCCCAAAATTTCCTCCATTCAAAATGTCTTCTTGGAGGTTTAAACAGTGGGATTTTTAAAGAGCTGATCAACTTTTGAAAATGGTCTAAGGCAGTGGTTCTCAACCTTTCTAATGCCGCGACCCCATAATACAGTTCCCCATGTTGTGGTGACCCCCAGCCACTTATACATCACCAGGTGCCAGGGGCGTGGCCAAAGAAAATGGGAAAAAATGGCGGACAGCCTTGTTTGGCGACCCCCATGAAATGGTCGTTCGACCCCAAATGGGGTCCCGACCCACAGGTTGAGAACCACTGGTCTAAGGAAACTACCTGATACCAATTGTTTCTAAATTGAAGTGCAACAGGCAGATTTGATCTCTTATTTGACCTCCTTCCAGATGTTCACATCTTTTTCTTTGCTGATGGGAACTGGTGAAATGTATGTTTGTGTGTGTGTGTTTGTGTTTGTGTGTGTGTGTGTGTGTGTATGTAGATGGATGGATGGATGGATGGATGGATGGATGGATGGATGGATGAATAGATAGATGATAGAATGGCACAATAAAATACAGCATTAGTGCATAATTTTTTTCCCAAAAAAACAGCATATAAAATGTATAGCAAAATATAGAACACTAGAGCAGTGAATTATTTTAAAAACAGACAGTACAGGTGATAAATAAAATTATGAATAGAATTAAATTATGTATCAGTAGTCACTGGAGTGACTAAACCTATGGCTGGGTATCTAGGTCATTTAGACGTTGGATAGCAGTGCCCTTGAGATGGTGTATTTCATGTAGGGATCCAGGGAACCTTCTGAGGGGGCATTCTGTTGCAATTTGATGCAACATTTGAAGGACTTCACAATCAATCAATCAGAACAGAGCTGGAAGGGACCTTGAAGGTCCAGCCTCCTGCTCAAGCAAGTGACCCTAGGGCCTATACCCTTTCAGACAAGTGGTTGTCCAGTCTTTTCTTAAAAACCCCAGTGATGAAGTGCACACAACTTCTGAAGGCCAGCTGTTCCACCGGTTGATTGTCCTCACTGTTAGGAAGTTTCTCCTTAATTCCAGGTTGCTTCTCTCCTGGATTAGCCTCCATCCATTGTTTCTTGTCTTGCCTTCTGGTGCTTTGGAAAATAAGTTAACCCCCTCCTCTTTGTGGCAGCCCCTGCTTCCTGCTTGAGCAGGGGGTTGGACTAGAAGACCTCCAAGGTCCGTTCCAACTCTGTTATTTTGTTATGTGTTAAAGTTGACAAGTTTGGAGACAGCTGCCCTAGATCAATAAAGACTTCCAGGAGTTCATGCGGCATCTGTTTTTCCTGATCTGGTCTATCTCAATAGTTCCAGATGAAGCTACCCTGATTTCTTACTAGCTAACTGAAACGTTAAGTTCTTGCCAAGAAAGGCATATTTGAAGATCTATCTGCCATTAATCAAATTTCCTAATGAAAAATGAACATACTTAAATTCTAATCAAGCCATTTTTTTCTTCCTGATGGGCTTCTATAACATTAGATAAATAGTCACTGGCTGATGCTTGCTAGGTTATTTTTAAGCTCGGATCAATTAGAGCATAATATTTCTTCTCTTTGGGTGATCTAGTGCAAGGGTCTTCAAACTTGGCCCGTTTATGACTTGTGGACTTCAATTCCCAGAATTCCTCAGCCAGGCACGCGTATTTGAACACATTGTGTTCAAAAGCAAAGGGAGCAGAGTTGTTTAAGGTTGGAAATGGAAACGGAGCAAATTCAGATTTGGTAGATAGGCCTGTCTCTATGGCTACAATTACTCATGTTCTTTTACTAAAATAATTTCTGTTAGCCTAGAATGAGACTATTTTTCATACTGAGTCCTAATTGCCTCTTTTTATATTTTTAACAATAACTATGCTATATTTCTGGACAGAATACCTAGAGCAGAATACTGAATTCTAAGTTGATCTCACAAAGGATTTATCTAATGGCTTTTGAAAATTCAACATTTTTTTGGCTGAGATCATACGCTGTGCTGAAAGCAGATTTTGCTTGAGCTACGTTTGGATAAGTTCATATAATACGTTAAGCCATAAACCATAGATTCCATACTACTACTAAATTCTTTCACACAATCATTCTGCAAATGGAGAGAAGAAAATGGACCATACATGGAAGGGTATTTATTTCTAACTTAAATCAATGCCAATATATGCTTTCAGTTTTTTCTGAGAATCCAATCTTTTTTTAAAACAAAATTACCATAAAAACTATCCCTAAGGATGATCTATCATGTCTTTTAATATGGATCTGCATGATTCTGAACATGTAAAGGTATTTAGAGCTGATTCTATAAAAAGTAAGAGAGGAAGGAAGGAAGGAAGGAAGGAAGGAAGGAAGGAAGGGAGGAAGGAAGGAAAGAAGGAAGTGTATGACAATAGCTGATTTGTTCTTAGCTATTTTTAAGCCTCTGGGTTCCCTAGCAATCTGGATATTTGAGTTTTTTCGCTGCTTCATTGCAAAGCTGCTAAAATCAGATCCAGCCAGATATTGTCAATTGTCGCATGCTGGGAACCACTGTGCATTTTTAATTTGGCCAGGTGTACAGTAGATGGATGTCAGTTTTGTTCATTTCAGGTTCTGCTAAGAACTGGCCCAATTTTGCATTACATTTCTACAGCTAGCAAAGTTAATAGAATCGCTCGTCTCTATTTTCAGGATAATTTACAAATACCAACACAGTCTTGCTCAAAAGCACCTGGTGAAGATTTTGTAGATACCTAAATCCACATTCATAGCCTGAGTCTAATGGGGATTACAATAATTACTTTTAGTTTATATTTTTGTCTTTAGGAATGAATGTTGGGGTCTTAATCCTCTTCTAGTTAAAAAGAAACAAAAACAAAGCAACTACCTTATTATGCATATTTGATTTGTTAATTAAAATACCCAAGGCTTTTTACAGGGCAGCTTAGGAATCAGAGAGCAGAAACTATTCTGGCTTTCTTGCAATATGTAGGCTTAAGTTATTATGTATAACTCACTGTTATCCAGTGGATATACACAGATTAGAATAAATTCTATATTAAAAGGAAACTGATCAAGAATAGAAATTGCAATAGAAGTAGAAGAGAATGCCCCTAAGGAAACTTATGTTGGTATTCTGTCAATCAAAATATCTACAGATACTTTTGGTGAGAATCAAAATATCTACAGATACTCTACCGAGAGTTTTGATGAGAATCAAAATATCTACTGATACTTTTGATGAGAATCAAAATATCTACAGATTCTTTTGGTGAGATGGTTTTCTTGCAGATGTTTCATTACCAAACTAAGTAACATCATCAGTTTGCACCTCACTCCCTTCTAGCACTGATGATGTTGCGTAGTTTGGTAATGAAACGTCTGCAAGAAAACCATCAAACTCAGAGATTACCAAGGAACTTTATTTCAGCCCTGAGCTACAAATATTCTCTTCTAAAATAATCCTGATTTTTTTAAAACTGTAGGATTTTATTTCAGGTATTTAAAGACTGTCTACATATCTCCCTCTCAAACCCTCTTCTTTGCAAGAATCAATATTTATCTTTTCAGCAATGCAACATCGAAAAGAAAAAAGAAAGAAAGAAAGAAAGAAAGAAAGAAAGAAAGAAAGAAAGAAAGAAAGAAAGAAGGAAGGAAGGAAAGAAGGAAGGAACTTACCATTTTTGTCTGCTCGTCTGAAGATCTAGAATTAAAAAAAGGACATATTTACTATTTCATTATAGCTCGCTCACTACCGTTCAAACAAATACTGTTTTTTTATGGATTAAACCCACAAGTTTAGTTCTTATATCATGCTAAGCCACAAATCCTAGCTTAGAAATCACCAAGAATCATAGAATCAGCAGACTGGAAGGGACCTTGGAGATCTTCTAGTCCAACCCCCTACCGAAGGCAGGAGATCTCATACCACTGTGGACAAACGGCTGTCCAATCTTTTTTTGGAAAAACCTCCAGAGACGCTTCTGTGATGCAAACTCTCCCCAAGGCAGAAAAACTGCCGAGAGCAAAACCAGGTCTTCTTTTTAAACTTGAACTTTTGTTCCTCACTCTTCGCACAAAGTTTAGCAGCTGCTCCCATAACAGCCAGGGGAAAAGACAGCTGAATTGCAGTGAGGTGAGGATCTGAAGTGTACAAGTTATTTCCCAGTTTGTTGGAAGAAATAGATTGGTAGAGTAATGAACAAAACGGATAAGAAAGAAGAAGTGTTATCAAGGGCCAACCTTAAGGGAGTTCGAAATGCTGAGCCTGATGCCAAGGGCAAAATTGCCAACAGAACACAATAAAATGATATTTGATACTCCGGTGTTAAAAAAGAGAACGTGTCAGCAAAGCCGGTCTCTGTGAACTCACAAGGCTTGTATAATTAATGTAGGATAGTAAAAGAAGAGTGACCTGCTCTCTCTGCGTAGCAAGGAGATAAATTTAGACCAAACCAAGCAGAAGCAGAAGCAGAAAAAGGATAAGGAGAGAGAGACACACACAAACACACACACACACACACACAAATAATGGGAGACATCTTGTGGAAATAATATCTGGAGACAAATACAAACAAACAAACGAACAAAATCAGTTTGAAAAACCACTTAAGAGATAGAGGTAATTCATTGCTGAAGGCAAACCTTCCAGAAGCTGCTATTCTCCAGATGGGTTGGAATTCATGACTAACTTAAATTATTATCGTGATTATTTTAAAAAGCAGAGCCATTGGAGGTCCCCAGCTGGAATTTCCCCAGCAATGGTTCTGGGCCACCCAAAATTACTGGAGCTGGCCGCCATATAAATTGAATAATAGATGAGTAAATAAATGAACAGGTAGAGGACAGGGAGAAATAAAAGTGAAAAGAAACACAGCCCTTCAAGCTAGGCCAGGCTAAGAACTACAAGGACTTCTGGATGCTCCTTTATTACTGCAAGGCCTGTTACAAGAATTAAAAGTGTTCCTCTTTTATACCAAATTGAATCAAGAGAGAATTGTTTTGAATTTCTTTCTCATACTTTAGATAGATATAGAGTTAGAGTCACAGAGTGAGATAGATAGATAGATAGATAGATAGATAGATAGATAGATAGATAGATAGATAGATAGATAGATATGATGGAGATGGAGATGGGAGAGAAAGAGAAATGGATAGATGGACAGATGGATGGATGGATGGATACAGCTAGAGATGGAGATAGATGATAGATAGATAGATAGATAGATAGATAGATAGATAGATAGATAGATAGATAGATAGATAGATTGACAGATAGACAGATCTGTGATCAGGAATAAAAGAGAGCAACTTGCTTCCCTATTCTTGTCCTAACAAGCAGTTGAAGAAAACAATTTTTTTGCATATACTCATTATTTTACTGAAATCCCTGAAAGCACAACAATCCATTTAAAACCTTCTTAACTGGCATTATTCATAGGCAATTTGCTTTTATATATATACTTGGTGATCTGTGTTTTCTGATTTTGAATATGAATATACCCAAGACTCATATTTTTAAGACTATTTTATGTGTGTGTGTGTTATACACACATATTCAGTCTTGAGCTCATTCATTTGAGCTATGGAGGGCACCTGATTAAACAACCACAAACAGAGACAATGTCAACAGGATGAAAAGGCTGTCATACAAATAGCTTTCGTTCAGCTGGAAAGCAAAAGGCTTTATTTTCTGGGTCAAAACTCAAAAGAAAGAGTGATGGAAGAAAAAAGGGGGGCAGTCAGAAACATCAGCCAAAACACAGGGGATCAAAAGCAAGATTATCTCAGGCAATGCTATCACAGAGTCCAGTCATGTTGATTTCTGCCTTTTCAATATACCCCAAGTGATGCTTGGATCTGGGCAAAGTGAGCATTAAAGGAAATGCCGGCTCAAACCAGCCTCTAAAGTGTGCTGCTAACAGAGCTAATCTGAAATGAGAATTGACAAAAAGCTGCTGCATTTCAAGTCTGTGGTGCAAAGGAAGCCAGCTGTTAAGGTACAATTTAATTGCCCACCTATAAGGCAGCTAATGGCACAAACAATGGATTGGAATAAATGCGCAGTAGAAACAGAGAGGAAAAAAACAGGCCTAATGAATTCCATAAATGGCTGATTTAGGAACCTGGGATTTGTTGTTCTAATCCCTTCGGATGGCGCCTGGGTGAAGAGGATTTTACCTCCCAAACCTTGCTTTCCCCTGTTCGCTTTTAATCATTTGATTGCAAAAACTCTGAAACAGCACTGAGGTAACCCTGTCCCTTTGATATCTAAAATGAAGATAACACTGCATATATCCTTTTTTTACCTTTATTATAGGTATATGTACATATATATACATATATATACATACATACACACACACACATATACATATGTATACATACACATACATATGCCCTTTGCTCTGATGATGTTAACAGGTTGTTAATGAAAGCTCAGCAATTAAAAAAAGCCTTTTGCCTTACATCCCGGAGTTCTTTGTTTTTATCTTATTAACTTTAAATGTTCATACCTGGGATTCCAATATTCAAAATTATCTGTCTGTCTGTCTGTCTGCCTGCCTGCCTGCCTGCCTGCCTGCCTGCCTACCTACCTACCTACCTACCTACCTATCTCATAAAGGTAAAAAAGATATATGCACTGTTATTTTCATTTTAGATGTCAAAAGGGGCTGGCTTCAAGCTGTTCTCCAACAAGCCAAGGGCTAGGCAACCTCGGCTCTTTTATGACTCATGGACTTCAACTCCCAGAATTCCTGAGACAGCAGAGCTGGGCTAGCTACCTCTCACCTGCCCTTCCTGTTTCCTGCTTCCTGCTTCCTGCAGAGACGCAGCAAAGGGAGGAGCTCCGCCCAGTAAGCCTGTCGGCTGGTCGGAGAACACTGTGAGTCCGCTCTCTTTTTTTTACACACACACACACACACCTCTTTTTTACACACACACGCACAGAGAGAGAGAGAGAGAGCCTTTCTCTGTCTCTCTCTGCAAAATGGAGGCTGGGAGCCGCAGGGAAAGGCTCAAAGAGCCACATGCGGCTCTGGGGCCGCAGGTTGCTGACCTGTGCTCTAGGTAAATATTTGATAGTTCTGAAAGGAGAGTAAATGTAAAGTAAGATGAATTAACCAAGTTGGTCTTTGGGGAAGGATTGGACCAAAGAAAGGGAAAGAACGATGCACATCTGGAAGGTGGGAAATTCCCTAGAATTATGAACCCTGCTGGACACCTGAAAGACCAGGCCTTTGCATCTTGAGCTGGTGGTCTACAAATAGTCCTCAGCTTACGCCCATTTGCTAAGTAACAGTTCAAAGTTGCAGCAGTACTGAAAAAGGGGACTTACAACAGGTCCCTGCACTTATGACCAACTTAGGATCTCCATGGTCGTGTGTCCTGGGATCATGCAAATGCCATTTGGGACCTTCTCAACTGGCTTCTAGCAAAGTCCATGGGAGAAGCAGCATTCAGTTAATGACGCCAGTGATTTCCTTAAGAACCGTGGCAAAAAGGTCATACAATAGGGCAGAGGCCCCCAACCTTTTGGGCACCAGGGACCGGTTACATGGAGAGAGCTTTTTCTGCGGACTGGAGGGTGTGTGGTTTTGTGTGCTGCCTGCACCCTGTGGATGGGGCTTTGCTTGTATGTGCGGACCGGTTGCTAGCATGCCATGGCCTGGTACTTGGGGACCCCTGCCATTAAGTATCTAAAATGAGAAAACATTCTCAGTTTTGCAAGTCCCCAGCATCTGGCGACACATTCACACAACCCCTTGTTGCTGAATTCTTGGCAAAGGCCTTAACTTGTGATAGACACATAGGTGTTTGGGACCAAGCACAAGAATGTAAGAAGCCCAAAATGGAGATTGTAACCTTTGTATTTTGATTTATTTATTAAACTTCTATGCTGCCCTCTCGCTATGCCAAGCTATCTAAACATTTCATAACCACATCATGGTGTTAGACACCTAACAGGAGACCCTATACCATTTCAGACAAATGGCTGTCCACTCTCTTCTTGAAAACCTCCAGTGATGGAGCACTCACAACTTCTGGAAGTAAGCCATTCCACTGCTTATTGTTTGCACTGTCAGGAAATTTCTCATTAGTTCTAAGTTGCTTCTCTCCTTGTTTAGCTTCCAACCCTTGCTTCATATCCATATGCACACCCCGTGTTTCTCAATCTTGGCAGCTTGGAGATAAGTGGACTTCAACTCCCAGGCGAGTGGAAGAGAGAGTGCTTCATGCTAAAATAAGAGGATCCTGCACAACTCATCAACCAACAACAGCCGAAAAGATATCTGGTTATCAAGTAGCTGCAAAATTTAGTAGACTAAAATTTCCACTTGCTACATCGGCTAAGTTCCAGCTGGCACCACTAATATCTCATTTGGATGGCATTTCCAAAAGAGAAGTGAAATAATAGCTGACTCATTCTGTTTTGGTTTTGCTACCTTCAGGCTTTCCAAAAGGGCAAATGCAGAGGTGTGCTTTATTATTATTGTGGTAATTATTACTGTTATTGTGGCAAGGTATGGCACCACACATACAGGGATGCAGCATGCAACTTCCTCCCTTAGCAAGGGGTCTACGACAACTCGTTGCAGCCAACCCGTCACAGGACAAGAGTTACACTAATATGGAAGAAACAGAGGAATGGAATCATTAAAGAAAGGATGCCGAAGGAAGGGGGGAAAATGAAATGCGCATGACAAAAATGAAAATAATATTTTAATTGTTTTAAATAACTGAATTATTGAACTATCCTGCAGCAAGTTGCCCCATGGCAAATTGGCCGTGGCGAATTGGCTGCAGTGAATAATGATGATGATGATGATGATGATGATGTTGGAAGGGACCTTGGAGGTCTTCTAGTCCAACTCCCTGCTCAGGCAGGAAACCCTAAAGGATTGTTTCAAGAAAAATGGAATGCATTTTGAATTCTAAGTATTCTGCACACTAGCTTTTAGCAGTGAAGTCTGGAGCTAAGATCATGTAAAACAAGCTGTATGGTGACAGTCACCATGGTTACCATGGACTACGACCACCATGGTCCACACCTTTTGGTGAATATTTGCCTTGCAAATAGATATAAACAGTGCCCTAAGCACACCAGGTGAAGAAGGAAACCAGAAAACTGCTGAGTTTTCACAACATGCTTAATCTGGTTATTGAATTCACATTTTCTGAGTTTCGACAATACGTTGAACCATAATTCAGGAAGCGGTCCTCATTTACACAGCATTCAAAACCGTAAGGAAGTGACTAGGGTAACATTTTAAAAGTTTAAAGTCTACCAAGAGGTTTGTAACTGAGCTAGTTAAAGTGTTTATTCAACGGTGTGGGAGAAAGAGGATAGGGAATGTGAATGTGTGTCAAATTTTAACAAACAATATTTGAGGGGCCGCCACAAAGAAAAGGAGATCAGCCTATTTTCCAAAGCACCAGAAGGCAAGACAAGAAATAATGGATGGAAACTAATCAAAGAGAGAAGCAGTCTAAAAATAAGGAGAAATTTCCTGTCAATGAGAATAATTAATCAGTGGGACCGGTTGCCTTCAGAAGTTGTGGCTGCTCCATCACTGGCAATTTTTAAAGTCTCCTGCTTGAGCAGGGGTTGGACTAGAAGACCTCTAAGGTCCCTTTGAACTCTCTGCCACCAGTTTGATACAAAAGAATTGAAGCTGTCAATCCTAAACAATACTGGAAAAGTTCTTGTTCACCGTACAATTTTCTAAAAAAAAAAAAAAACTACAACAAATTCATTAGCCAAATGTTTCTCCACATTATACAACCACATTGTTTGACGTGATAAGATTGGGAACCAAGCAAGAAAATTGTTTGCATTTCATAATTCTAGGAGGGAAAGTGCACTTTCCTTCTTTATTGATAAACAAGCCTTAATTATCACTTGTGATTCCTACCCAAGCACAGATTAAACAAAGCAAAAAAAACAAAACCTGTTAGCCTTGATTTCCAAAAGAACTCTCTATGTAAATTATTTTCATCGGAGATTCTCTTTTCCCGAGACTTTCAAACACTTAAAAAAAATAGCACTGCCCACTTACATAACTTTTAACAAAATTTAAATCATTTGCTCCCAACACAAACCTTCCTGATATCAATCCCAAGAGGAAAACTATTATTTGATGAGATCTGGCACGCCAGATCTGTTCTGATCTGGGAAACGGGAGAAAGGTGTTGTTTTTTTTTTCCTATTTCCCATCTAAATTTCAGTAAATCGCAATTCCTACATGTTCGGGAGGGAACCATAAAAGATTAATTCCTGAAGAGGGACGGGGATTTCTTCCCTAACTAAGGGAAATTTCAGCCTCAGCCATTATTCTTTCTTTCTCCAGGATTCTCCTTTCCCTGCAAAGCAAGTTGGATCGTTTTTTATCCGCGTAATAGTTTTTTTAAGGAGGAGAAAACTTCAACCGACTAGTCAAGGTGAGTGCAAAACTTATCAAAAGACTGAAAAGGTTTCTAGGAATTTTTTTTGGGGGGGGGGGTCTCAGCTGTTTGAAAGTTGCTGCACCTGGAGATATTGTTGTTGTTGATGTGTGGCCTCTCAAACAATTTGCACGGACCGGTCAGGGAGAAAGGGGGAGCTGACCTTCTCGCCCCCACCCACCCACCCGATTGACTGCAACGGAGGAGGGGGCCGGCCCAAAGCTTGAGGCTTTTTCTTAAAAAGACCACATTCTTGGGGGTCTTCCAGAAAGGCTGAGAGCCCCCCTCCAAGGAAGCCCTTTGCAGCTGCTCCGGGAGAACCCCCCCCTTCCTGTTTTGTAGTCCCCCCCCCTTTCCTGGGTTTCGGAGCCAGGCTACATGGGGGGGGGTCTTTCTCCGGGATGGAGTGATAGGGAGGAGGAACATCTCCACCAAAGCTCTGCAAAGGGGCCACCCCCCCCCACGAAAACCTTGCCTCGTCCCCTAACCCGCTAAACTCCGGGGACGCCAGGCTCGGCTCCCTCAAGCCCCTTCCTCTTCTCCTCTCTTATCCCCCCCACCCAAAAAAACCCGCCGAGGTTCGCCCAGTCCCTCGATCGGGATAGACTGCCCCCGCAGCTGGAGGCTCCCCCGGCATCCCGCGCGAGGGGAGAGAGGAGAAGAGGAAGGGGGGCTTGAAGGAGCCGAGCCTGGGGTCCCCGGAGTTTAGCGGGCTGGGGGACGAGGCGAGGTTTTCCGGGGGGGGGGTGTTGGTGGTTATGGTGGCCCCTTCGCAGATCTTTGGTGAAGCTGTTCGTCCAAGGGAGCCGCGCCTGCTAAGGGGTCTCCCCGCGCAGCCAAGAGACCCACCCCACTCCGGCTGCCCCCCCCAGCCATCGGGGCCAGGAGAAAAGCTCCGGTGGGGGGGATCTCCCGGGGGGGCTGCAGCCAGCGCTGGGGAGGGGCAGCCAGGCGGGATGGGGGCAGGTGGGCGTGCAAGGGGTCCGGGCATCCCCTCCCCGCCCCTCCGGCCCGACTCACGTCCAGGATGACGGAGGCGCCCTTCTTCGGCTCGGCGCCGGCGGCGGGGCCCTCGGGCAGCAGCTCCCGCTCGGCCAGGGGGCTCTGGCCGTCGCCCATCTTGGTGACCACCCAGCGGAGCAGCCCGTCCAGCCCTCCGCTCGCCGGCTGCGGCTGCTGGCGGAGCAGCCTGTGGACGCTCTCGCGGCAGTAGCGCGCTGCCTGCTCACACATCTTGCCCCGACGCCTTCATGCTGGAGCCGGGGGTATCCCCGCCCCCCCGCGCCCCCCGGCCCCCTCCGCGCCCGAGCCCACCCTTGGGCGCCCCCCGCCGGAGGCAGCCGGAGGCAGGAAGGCGGGCGGGCGGGACTGGCCCCGCGAGGGGGACCGGAGGGGATTAAAAGCCGGAGGGGGGGCAGGAGGAGGCACCGGGAGGGGGGGCGGCGGCGGCGGCGGGCGGGTCTTGTCTCCGATCCAGCGGGCGGCGGAGAGGCGCGAGCCCCCCCCCCGGGGCTTTTCGCCGGCGCGCGTGGAAAAGGATGAGCCCTTGCCTGGAGTTTCCTAGATGCCAGGTGTGGGGGGGGAGGGGACTGGAAAGGCCAATGCAAAGGGGAAAAAAGTGGGGGGGGGGTTCAACAGGAAAGCAAGCAACTCCGGTCATCTTGTGGTAATGTAATGTAATGTAATATATAGTATAGTATAGTATAATTAATATGATATGTGATATATAATATAATAATATATAAATATAATATTTAATATAATTAATATAATATAATAAGCACTTAGACATATTCCACTTCAAAATGGTCTACAGTGTCAGCGTATTGTCCCTAACAATCTTGGTCCTCATTTTATTAACTTTGAAAGGATGAAAAGCTGATTCAACTTATATATATGATACAATACAATTAATATAATATAATATAATTAATATAATATAATATAATATAGTATAATATAATAAGCACTTAGACATATTCCACTTCAAAATGGTTTACAGTGTCAGCATATTGTCTCTAACAATCTGGGTCCTCATTTTACTAACTTTGGAAAGATGAAAAGCTGATTCAACATATATAGGATATAATATAATATAATATCATCCCAACTAGGGACAATCATCACAGATCATCAATAATGCTTAAAATCAACCATTTTACTGAGACGACCTTGTTGAAGCATGTTGGGTTGAATGAATCATAGTACTGTACAGCTGAACATACATGATTGAAAAACGTCATACATATTGATCCGTGAATCATGGCTTACAAATCACAAAGCCCGAGTTCCTGTTAAGTCAAATCAAAGAAGCAACCACATATTTTAGTATAATCTGGTTGATGCGGTAGGCTAAACCAAACCCAAAAGTTAATTTTAGCTTAGTGTCTTGCACAAATCCAGGCAAACGTGGATGATTCAATAATGAATCCTGGCTTAACATAGAAAGCGAACAGAGGGCACTCAAGAAGGTAATATTGAATGCAGAGATATATTTTTTTTAACTTATGTTTTCTTGAGCAAATAAAAAATCTTGTAGTGAACTGCCAACAGGACTCTAATGCTTGTAAGTGAACTGCCAGTAAGATGGAGACTTTTACCTATCTAGCAATATGTATCATCCCAAAAGTGCTTTTTCACGAGGAGAGAGACTGGACTTCCTTGTTCTTCTTCGAAGACGTTTCACTTCTCATCCCAGAAGCTTCTTCAGCTCTGAAGCTTCTTGGATGAGAAGCGAAACGTCTTCAAAGAAAAACGAGGAAGTCCATTCTCTTCGTGAAAAAGCACCGTTGGGGGCAACCCTGACCTGGATGACTGAGCATCTCCATAGACATTGTGTCAAAGTGTACACCTTTACTGGCACTTTGGCTCTGTTCTGAATGGAAAACACACACAACCAAACAGGAGGAGGAGGAGGAGGAGGAAAGAGTGTTAGGTATGCTTGCCGCCTTGAGTTATTTATAAGTAATAAAGGTGGGATAAAAAAATATGTAATAAATATATGCATGATCTTGACACTTTTTCATGGCATGCGGAGAGTCACAACTGATCTGCATTCTGAAGCCCTGGCTAGATCCCTCAAGAGGAGACTGCAGAATTTCTGAGCTCGGTTTTAGCCTCGTCCTTCACTGCGGCTGGGAATATCCACCCGCTTTGCTCGATGTCTTCTGAGTCCAGGGAAAGTTCATATCTGCTAAGGCCGATGCTTTATCTCTGGCTGATCTGCTCCTCTCTCGGACTCCCTGGAGAGATTTAACTAATTAAAGGCTTCCAGCAGGCTGGAGCGTCCCTGGTCCTTGGAGGCAAATGTCAAAGTCAGGTTGCTCCTATTTGCTAATGAATGGCAGATTGTGTCAAGTGCTGGGGCATCAGGGGAGAGATGGGGGGGTCACTGCATCAGAGCATTTAGATGGGGGGGGGCTGTATAGGCAAAATCCAGTCTTTGCAAATCAGTGCAATTCCGTTTCCAGTTCCATTTGGACAATCGGTCGGATTGAATTCAAGCAGGGCATCGAAGAAACATTCTGGATTCCAGCGTGAACAAAGTTAGATGTTCGATCCACAGGGAAGCAGCCAGTTCAATTGAACGGTTTTTGGCCAGTTCCAAGATTCAATCCAAGTGCATCCAAATCCAGTCCTGAAAGCAAATACATCCTCCCTCCCTCCCTCCCTCCCTCTTTTCTTTCTTTCTTTCTTTCTTTCTTTCTTTCTTTCTTTCTTTCTTTCTTTCTTTCTTTCTTTCTTTCTTTCTTTCTTTCTCTTTCTTTCCTTTCCTCCCCCCTCCCTCCCTTCCTGCCTTCATTCCCACAGAAAGAAAAAGAGGAGATAGGATCAGAAAATAGGTCCACCAGATACTCCGAAACTCAAAGTCAGCCACTACAAGATGCATAGACTTCAACTCCATGCTAGCTGGGGAATTCTGGGAGTTGAAGTCCACCCATCTTAAAGTTGCTAAGATTGAGAAACACTGCTTTATACTGTTTCAGAGAAATGGTTGTCCAATCTCTTCTTAAAAAAAACTCCAGTGTTGGAGCAGCATGACTGGCTGGGGAATTCTGGGAGATGAAGTCCACCCATCTTAAAGTTGCTAAGATTGAAAAAAAAATCTGGGCTAAAGGATCAGGAAACTAGTGCCACGTGAAGTGGTTGCAAGAACTCAGACCACAGAAAGCTCCCGTGGGATTTCTGGATTTTGCAACCAAGATGGACTCTTTGATCACTAGTCAAGCTGAATAACCCGCAAACAGAAGGTACCCCTCCTCTCCCCCCCCTCGAGCCTCCACAATGTTCCCACTGAAAAATGCATTCCTTCCATCAACAGAGCTCTCTCCTGGTAAGGATGTCACAATCACTGCCCAGTTTCCAACAGCGCAACAACATCACAGTCACACTCTCTGGGTGTGCCCTCTCCAAAGGCCTCTTTGCAAAAGAACAGCGCATCTCCGTGGTCAAAAAGAATAAAGGACAAACACACACACAAGCTTTTAAAGATGGCTCGGCTAGGAAAACATGAAATCTGAATGCTAAAAGAAGTCCGTGATTTATGCTGTTTTTGGAACCACGGGGTCTTTTCCTTCCCATCTCTGGGGCTGAAGCTGCGTGCGCCTGGATCTGTTTAAAAAGTTGCACTGCAACATTTTCATCACTCTCCACTCGCATTTCCAGCAAAGATGCGAACGGCCTAAAAGCAGCAGCTGGCTGAGCATGCTGCAATTCCTCCATTAATATTTGAAAATCTTCCGCCTCCGAGTGTTCATGCCATTGAGATAGAACACACACACGAGATCAAAGGAATAAAAGGAACAGGAAAAAAGGAGCTTTGTTCATTTCTGACCTCAGCCGCAGATGCTTTATAAGTTCCTTCCTTTGCAAGACAAATTCTACCGTGAATCTTATCTGTGTGCCTCTCTCTCTACTGTCAAAACTCCAGAAGAGAAAAAGGCCAATTCTAAGACTTGCACAGCCATCAAGAATGTTACTACTCTCTTTGCCAAGAACTAAGAAAACAAATTCAGGTGTTCCTCAACTTTATGACTATAATGGAACTTGTAACGTGGGTCGGATTTGCCAAAAAAAAACCCAGAAAGGCTGGTTTGGGGCAAAAATGTCATCAAATGTAATTACGTGACTTTGGAGCATTGCAATTAAGTGGGCTGGTTGCAGAGTGTCCAAAATGCGGTCACATGACTTCCAGGGTGTGTATGTGCGTGTGTGTGTGCGTACGCTGGCCATCAGAATTTCAGAAACAGGTCATAAGTAACCCTGCGGATATTTGTTGTAATATTAAATGGCTGCTAAGCAACCGGTCGGAAGCAAGAAGGCAAAGCCAGCAGAGTTATCTGGCTAATTAATATTGCCAGAGATTTGCCCTCTTTTTTTCCCTCTTCCCTCTTCTTCCCTTTTTCCTTTTGTGTCATGCCTGTTAGGTTTCAAGTCTGCCAGCAAGGAATGGGTTAATTGCAAGTTAGGAAATAACTTACGAAAAATGTTTCAAATGTGAAGGTTGTTATTAGGACTCCCAGTATTCTGTCAACAATGCATATTAATTAAGTACACTATAGAGAGTTGTGGATTGCACCAAAGGCGTGTTCTGTCCAGGAGACGACTGCAAATTCCTATGTGCCCAATTTCTGCAGATCATTGCTCATTTATAATTGAGTCCCCTGAACCACATTCAAAAGAAGTTTTTTGTAGAATGAAATAAGCTTGGCTGGTGTCAATCCTGGTTTCTTTGCTGGGGCTTGGTATGCTATGTAAACTTGGGTAATTCAAGGTTTATGGCATTGGGCAATCCCAGACAAAGTTGCTTTCTAAATATGCAATTAAAGCCTGAATTATTCAGTAATCAAGTTATGCATCTTGCAGGAACCAAGCTTGTGGCTTAGAAAGTTTGCAAAGCAGGAAAAAAAGGGGAAAACACCCACTATCCCTATCTTTGTGTTGCCAGACTACGATAAACAGCTTACTTCCACCATCTGGGAATTCTGGTCTAATTATCTACATAATTATCTTGCCAAGTTAACAAAACTTAAACTGAAAATGGCAAAGCTTTGTGATTAACAGCCCCACTACAGGAACTGACTGGAGTTTGGGGGTTCTGGGGAAGAGGCCAATTGCTGACGGGGCCAGAACAACCTTCTGCCGTGGACTGGAGGCTCTTTGCTTCTCACGTGTCTTCAGCTGCCACCGAATAAAATGAGGAGGAAGAGATTGGGCGATTATTCACAGGCTTCCTGGAGGGAAATAAATGTGAAATTTCAGCTTTGGGA